AAAGAATTCGTTATTACAAGAAACAATCTTATTATATTTACGATATACAAATACTAACTTTTGCAATTTAAAGCAGTGTTTGCGTATATGTTATGCATAGCATTTGGCATTTAGTAACTATTTTAAAGATTCGTATTTTAATACATTTGGTTTAATAACATTAGAATCTTGCAAAATTTTCAAGAATTCATTTATATCATTCAGCATTTGCTTAACGCCACTTGATATATCTTCAGGATACCATTCAGGCACTTCACCTGAACTTAAATTACCGTTTGCAGAGAAATCATCTTCCCATGATTTCTTATATAACTAATAAATATGTACCGAATATTAAGAAACAGATTAGAAAAAAAAAAAAAGCTACTAATAAATCAAGTAATTTACCGTAATTCCAAATGATACATTTTCCGATGGTTCACGTTGTAAAGGAATTTCCACTCCAGGTGAAACATTTAAAAATTTTCCTTCACAGTTCCAATATTCATATCGTGTAATCTCAATTATAAAATGCTCTTTCCATAAAAATTTCTTTTTATGTTTTTCGCAAACTGAGGTAACAATAACATCTTCAGTATTTGTATAAATCAAATGATTTTGTGGACTATAATTAGATATTAGTAAAATATATATACATCTATATATATATATATTTATTTATTCATTCATTTATAATTAAATTTTTACAAATAATAGTACCTTAATCGTAGTTTATAAACAAATAATCCTTGAGGTCCAAATTTGTCGATACTAAGTCTTTTAGCTGTTTTGATGGAAAGTCTCCATGAACACCCACTAAAAGTAAACATACATATATATATATAAATATTTATAAAAATTTAAATTATAATAAAATTTATACTCACTAATCCAAACTAGCCATGTTAATTTCCAACACATTTTTTTCATCAGCAACTGCATCCCATAAACCTATTTTGCCGTTCCTAAATGATACGTCAAACGCGCATGTCCATCTTTGTTCATCAAATCTAACGGGACGACGTGATGCACGAATCTTGAATTCATGAAATGATGAATCATCCCATACTTGGTTACTAGAAAAATATTCTTCTAACTTTTTGAGTTGATTAAAATCTGTTGCAAGACTATTAACATAATGTTAATTGAGTTGAACATAAAAAAAATTTTTTAAAAAATAAAATTTTGAAAAATTATACCATGTAGCAAACTTTGATTGCAAACGAGTATCCTTCAAGACTAGGCTATTCAATCTATCAATTGACCATAATGACATATCTTTAGGAAAATAGGTAAGGCATATTTGGCCAAATCTAAATTTGTCAAATATATTATTAAAAGAAATAAATAAGATCATGTTAAAATTATTTATACTGAGATTATTTACCTAACACGCATTTTGATTTCTTCATCGAACAAATAAACTGTCTGCAAAGCTCTTAATAGAGCTTCTTCAATTCTTTTGACATTTTCTGTGTAAACACTGAAATTTACAGCAATTGGTTAATAAAAAAACTTTCGCTGTAAACGTAACAATGGATTGCAATAAACTTAGCGTCAAATGCTGACTCAAAAATTTCAATCTTTGTGTCAGTAGAGGATTGCTCTTCTTCAATAACAGGTTCGAAAACTTTAAAGAAGCCAACCATATCATAAGGTGGTATGAACAAACCAGGAGGATCTGTAATTCTAACTTTGTAAAGCATTCGAGGTTGTTCGATCATATGATAAACCCAACCTCTCTTTACTGGAATGCTGCGAGCCTATGAAAAATATATGCAAATGGTTTACTACTTATTATAAAAAAACAATGATTAGTAATAAACGTTTATTGTCCTTACTAAGAAAACTTTAAGGTAAAGGTTTTTAACGCGTGAAATTGCTTCATAAACACTATCCTCATCATCACCAATAACTCTAACCATCTTGAACAAAAAAAAAAAAAAGGTCTTTATAAATAAATTGAATATTTAAAACTTTAAATTTTTATTACGTTTTAACTTACATGATTTTGTGGTTCATACCACATGTAACATTTAGTTTGAACACGAATTGGATCCAAGAATTCATCTTTTTCACCAATGATTCGTGCAATTGGGATTTCGTGATCCGGAAAATAAAAATGGGAAGAAAAAGGAAGGTCGATCTTAGGAAAACATTTAAGATCTTGTCCTTCCTTTTCTCTTGCCTCTCTACGCTGTAATTTTCTAATTTGTTTTTCTGTAAGGGCTTTTTCTGGTCTAGCCCAACCTTTGACTTTTCTTGCACTCCTGGATTT